TGAGAACTGCTGTCCTAAGACCCATTGTTCTATTCTTTTTCCAGAGGATGCATTTGGGGCAATACTTCCATTCTCGCTTTCCAAATTCAGTGATGGACATTGGGGTCTGCTAGATTGAGAGTGCAGCATGATCATTTCTGTCTCTGTACTCTTCTCTTATTTATCGTATCACGTCATGTCTAGAAATCTTTGGAAGCTGTGACTGAGTATCCCAAGAGGAGGAAAGATTCATCCAAACTCTCTCAAGAGCTGCAGTTTAGGGAGAGCTTCCAGAAAGATCAAAGTCAAGACGTCATGCCAGGTAAGAGAAGCTCCTTCCACGCGATGTGAGGTTTGGACATCCCGCCGATTCTTTTGCTCATCTTCAGTGGAACCTGTTTCTGGCTGTTTCTTTTTTTAACGATCTGCTTCCACCATTTTTCTTTCCCACAGATAATAGAAAGCTGTCCTTAATGTTTTTAGAATCACCTCCTCTTTCTGGTGGAACTGAAAGAGTGGCTGAAACTCTGCCTCAGGTAGGAGAAGAAATATCAGAAAGGTCCACGAATCTTGGGTGGGTTTCATTTTGTTCTGGAGTTCAACGTACAATAGCATTAGCACTTAGACTTCTATACTGCTTCACAGTGCTTTTACAGCCTTCTCAAAGTAGTTTACAGAGTCACCATGTTGCCTCCAACAATCTGGCTCCTCATTTTACTGATCTTGGAAGGAGGGCCAAGTCAACCTTGAATCGGTAAGAATTAAACTGCTGGCAGCTGGCAAGCAGCATGATATGTGCTCCTGGCTTCTTTCCTTCTTGACCAGAGGCAAGCTCGCCTGACCAATAACCAGCCAAGACACAGTGAAGGCCTTTTGTTTTGTTTATTGCAATAAGCGGAAGAGAAGCTATCAAAGCTTTAACCCAAAATATTCCCTTCTTTATACAGCCCTGTCCCGGCCGCTACATCCCTCCTCTTTCCCCATTGGCTGAGGTACTATGAGGTTATACTTTTTTCCGTCTGCTTCTTACACATTTCCTGATAACATATTAAATCATATTCACATATACAATAATAATAAGAAAAAATAGACATTTAAATGGTTATTTTGAACTCTGTGGATACTTATGTCCTCCTTTTAGAACAATAGGTTATTTCCTGTTTTTCAGTTCAGTGTGCCTTTCCTCTTATCTTATTCAGCTTGTTTTCCTGTTTTCCAATTCAACATGTCTTTCCTGGCTAGCCATTTCCACTTACAGCTATTTTTTTTATAGTTTGTCTTCTTCCTTTTCCCACTCTAAGACCCAGCTAATTTTTGCCTATGTGTTTATCTTACTTCTTTTATGTTATCTTTTCCTGATTCCCATCAATTGTACTTGTTTTTTCTATTCAATTAGTTTCCATTGTATTGTAGGTTTGACTGACTCTGAAGATTCATCGTATTGATACATATTTATCAAGCAGAAGTAGCCTATAGTACTAAATTCTAACCACTGTGCCACCGCTGTTTCTAAAGAAGACAAATTTTAGATCAGGTTATTGAAAATTCACACTGAAATTAAGCTACAGCTTCCTTCTGATAAGCTTTCTCTACCCTCCTGGTTCAGGCTCAGATTTAGCTGACTATCTCAACTGGAGATCTTCCTTTCTGTCTCCCAGGGTCATTCTCACATACTGTTACAAGCTCTCCCAGCACTTCCATGAAGGTATGGAGTGGGGGAGAATGGTTGGTCCCTCAATGAATAAACTCAGCCATTGGGAAAAATGTCAGATGGGTTTCCTATATTTCCTTCTCCCCACCCTAGGAAAAATTGGAGCCATTGGTGAGTAGTGGGTTTAAGACCCAACTACTCAAGTGACCCAGAAAACTATGTTAGTTTGCTTCACTGGAAGACATTCCAAGTCTTTCCAAACTCGATCAAATAGGCTTCAGTTGTGCCGTCAGCCCAAAACTGGGAGCTCTCATTTTGAATTCTGCGGAAGGTGTCCATTTTGTTCACTGGATCTCTCTCTTTGCATTGGCGAAAGGAAATTGCCCAATTATTCCTGGGATTGTCTGTTAATAGGGAAACTTGTTTCCTTGTTCAGGATGTTTTGTCCTTTGAGGAAGTAGCCGTGTATTTCTCCAAGAAGGAGTGGTCTCAGCTGGATGCTGACCAAAAAGCGCTCCACGGAGAAGTCATGCTGGAGACTTTCAAGAATTTGGCTTCTCTAGGTAAGAATCCCGATCTGGGCTAAGAAACGTAGAGAAGATATGAGGGGTGTGTGTGTGTGGGGGGGGGGCTTAGATGTTATATCAATTTTTATATCACTTTTTATTTATTTATTTATTTATTTATTATTTATTTATTTATTATCACCTGCCTTTATTATTTTTTGTAAATAACTCAAGGCAGCAGACATACGTAATACTTCTTCCTCTTCCTATTTTCTCTACAACAAAACCCCTGTAACGTGGCCTGGGCTGAGAGAGACTGGCCCAAAGTCACCCAGCCAGCATTCAAGCTTATGGCAGGACTAGGACTCTTAGTCACCCGGTTTCTAGCCTGGGTGTCTTAACCATATGACTAAATAGGTCTTTATGGAGGAGGAAATTTAATGAAAGGAAAATTGGAAAACTGCACAAGTTCCAAAACTTTTTACATGAAGGAAATGGGTTCCTTTCAAAATGCTTTCTGCTCATCGAGTACAAAATACTCATTTTCATGGAGCAGAAGATAATAGCAGGAATCTGAGGGACAGGCTGCATATAGGGATGGTGTGGCCTCTCTTGAGCCTGATCTCTGGGTATGCATAAGCAAGACTGGATGTGCCCTGAGAGGGATATTCTCCACTTAGAGATGTGTCCACTTGTGTACTGAATTTGGCATTAGCCTAAGTTGAGGGTGGGGAGCTATTGCCATCCAGGAATTCCCCTTGGCTTTCAGAGATTCTGCTCTGCAGGCAAGTGGAGATGAGACTTTGATTGAAGTTGGGGAGCTGGTGGGTATATTGCTGCCCAGCATGATACGGTATCTGATGCACTTAGGGAGTTTGTGGCACCATGGAATTGGCCTAGTCCAGAGGTAGGCAACCTTGGCTCTTTTATGACTCGTGGACTTCAACTCCCAGAATTCCTGAGCCAGCATGGCTCCGCTTGGAAACCTCTCCCTTTCCCCTCAGCATGGCTGCTCAGGAATTCTGGGAGTTGAAGTCCACGAGTCATAAAAGAGCCAATGTTGCCTACCCCTGAACTAGTCACTCATGGTTGACACACACTAGTGTTCAAAGATTAGATCACGGTTTGTCTTAGGTTTGTTATTATGTCATCCAATTCTGATATATAAGGATTGATAGGAGCTCACGAGGAAACGGTCTTTGGTAAATCTTTGTTTAGAATCTTTGTATATGCCAGCAAAAGAGCCAAAATATATTAATAATTCCTCTTGCTGAATTTCAGAAGAAAAGGTTTGATCATTTTCCTAGTCCAGACAAACCAGGGGTGTGTCAAAGTCGATTTCATTGAGGGCCGCATCAACATTGCGGTTGCTCTCTGGGGCCGGGTGGGTGGGGCCAACTGGGTTGGCGTGGCCGACTGGGTGGGCGTGGCTGGGGCCACTTAGAAGTTTCTCGCAGCTGGGGGGGGTGCCTGTGGGGATCGGGCAGGGTTGGGGATCCAGGTGTTTCTGGCAGTGGGCGGGAGGCTCGTCCCACAGGGTGAAGTGAGGTGAGGCAGGGCAGGGCAGGGGTGCCACTGCCATGGGGTGAGGCGAGATGAGGCAGGGAGCGTGCTGGCTGCTGCCGGACACCATGGGCCCCGCCCACCATGGGCCCCAAGTGTTCAGGGGCCAATGACTTGCCAGCCTCTCAGCTAGTGCACTCTGGGGCTCCTCAGCCCACTGCCACCACCGGGCCGGTCCTTTAAGCAGCAGCAGCGCAGTAGCGGCACCAGCAGCAAGTGGAGTCGAGGGGAAGAGGCATGTAATGTGGACCGCCAGACATGCCTACTCTGTCCCGCCTGCTTTTGCTTGCATTTGTTGAGCAGGTCACTGCTGATCATCTCCTTAGCCCCTTCGTGAGTCTTGCCCTTGGCCCACGCGTGGAGCGCGTTCCGTTTGCGCACCCGATGCACCTCGGCCCAGCTGAGATGGGGGGAAGACACGCGATCCTGGCTGGATCTGGGTAGCCTTGGCGCTGATGAGGATCTGGCTTTCCTTGCTTGGGGTGGCTGTCTTTTGCCTGCTGGGCCTGGCTTTCTCTATCACTTCTAATTGGGCTTCCTAGCCGGCCAATTTGCCTCCTTTGTGCTGGGCGGGCCTCCTGCTCCGGGCGGCAGTGGCCTAATGGACCTGCACGAGTCGCTGGAGGTGGAGGCAGCAGCCTGTGGTGGGGCCGAGGTGCGTCAGGTGTGCAAGGGGAATGCACTGCATGCGTGGGCCAAGGACAAGACCCGCAAGGGGGCCGAGGAGATGACCAGCGGTGATCTGCTCTCCAACCGCAAGCAAAAACAGAGGGGATGGAATAGGCATGTCTGGCGGTCTGCATGTGCCTCCCCCCACCCACTCCGTCTACTGCGGGTGCCACTGGTGCGCCTGCTGCTTGGAGGATCTGCCTGGTGGTGGCAGCAGGCTGCGGAGCCCCTGCTGCCGGACACCATTGGCCCCACGTGCTCACCGCATCCTGAGTGTGCACATGGGTGGGCCACCTGGCTGGGCTGGGCTCGGCTGGGCTGGGCTGGGCTGGGCTTGAGGCCAGAGTGGCTGGGGCCGGTCCCTCGCCATCTCTGGGCCGATCCCAAGGGCCGTGTGTTTGACATGTCTGAGCAACAGTTTTCATTTTTCTTTTTCAAGGCATTAATGGGCAAGAGAATAAGAATCTCAAGAAGGAAGGCCAAGCAATCCATCCAAAAGTGGGAATAGGGAAGTTTGCAGATCAGATGCAGCCAAAGAGTGATGAAACAAGGCGATCACAAAGTGGAATTAAAAAAGACTTTCCTCTGGTCAGTTGGCTGAACAACCGTATCATCCTTGATACGGGAGAAAGACCATATCAATGCATGGAATGTGGAAAGACCTTTACTTGTAGCACTAGCCTCAATTCCCATAAGAGGATCCACACTGGAGAGAAGCCATATCAATGCATGGAGTGTGGAAAGAGCTTTACTTGTAACAGTCATCTTAATTCCCACAAGAGGATCCACACAGGGGAGAAGCCATATCAATGTATGGAGTGTGGAAAGAGCTTTAGTAAGAATAATAATCTTGCCTGCCACATAAGGATCCACTCAGGCGACAAACCATATCAGTGTAATGAGTGTGGGAAGAGCTTTTGTGAGAGCAAAAGTCTGGCTAGCCATAAAAAGATCCACACAAGGGAGAAACCGTATCAGTGCATGGAGTGTGAGAAGATGTTTACTCGTAGCAGTAATCTTAATTCCCACAAGAAGATCCACAAAGGAGAGAAGCCCTATCAATGCACAGAGTGTGGAAAGAGCTTTACGTGGAATTCTTCTCTTACCTGCCACAAAAGAATCCATACAGGGGAGAAACCATATCAGTGCATGGAGTGTGAAAAGACGTTTACTCGTAGCAGTCATCTTAATTCCCACAAGAGGATCCACACAGGGAAGAAGCCACATCCATGTATGGAGTGTGGAAAGAGCTTTAGTAAGAGTAAAAACCTTGCCTGCCACATAAGGATCCACCCAGGCGAAAAGCCATATCAGTGTAATGAGTGTGGAAAGAGCTTTACTTGTAGCAGTCATCTTAATTCCCACAAGAGGATCCACACAGGGGAGAAGCCACATCAATGTATGGAGTGTGGAAAGAGCTTTAGTAAGAATAATGATCTTGCCTGCCACATAAGGATCCACTCAGGTGACAAACCATATCAGTGTAATGAGTGTGGGAAGAGCTTTTGTGAGAGCAAAAGTCTGGCTAGCCATAAAAAGATCCACACAAGGGAGAAACCATATCAGTGCATGGAGTGTGAGAAGATGTTTACTCGTAGCAGTAATCTTAATTCCCACAAGAAGATCCACAAAGGAGAGAAGCCCTATCAATGCACGGAGTGTGGAAAGAGCTTTGCGTGGAATTCTTCTCTTACCTCCCACAAAAGAATCCATACAGGGGAGAAACCATATCAGTGCATGGAGTGTGAAAAGACGTTTACTCGTAGCAGTAATCTTAATTCCCACAAGAGGATCCACACAGGGGAGAAACCATTTCAATGCATGGAGTGTGGAAAGAGCTACAGTAGGAGTTATCATCTTGCCTCCCATATAAGGAGCCACAGAGGCGAAAAACCATATCAGCGCAGTGAATGTGGAAAGAGCTTTAGTGAGAGTAACACTCTGGCTGTGCATAAAAGGATCCACACGGGAGAAACCATATCAATGCATGGAGTGTGGGAAGAGTTTTAGATTGAGTACCGTTCTAACTATCCACAAAAGGACCCACTCGGGTGAAAAGCCATATCAATGGAATGAGTGTGGGAAGAGTTTTAGTACAAATAAAACTCTAACTGTCCATAAAAGGATCCACATAGGCGAGAAGCCATATCGATGCAAGGAGTGTGGAAAAACCTTTACATATAAGAGTCAACTTAATTATCACAAGTGGGTACACAAAGGAGAGAAGCCTTATCCATGCATGGAGTGTGGAAAGAGCTTTACTTGTAGCGGTAGTCTTCATTCCCACAAGTCCATTCACACAAACATATCAGCATAGCGAATGTGGGGAGAGCTTTCGTGAGAGTAAAACGGACTGCATAAAAGAATCCTCACAGGAGAGAAGCTGTGTCAGTGCATGGAGTGCGGAAAGACCTTCTGTTGTAACTCCTTTATAGCCCATCGAAAGAATCACAAAGGAGAAAGACCTAATACTGTAGGCGGGAGACACATGCCACATGCGTCTGTGCTGCAATTCACAAAGCCGTTACCCTACGATGGCCATAAAAATAAAACACCTGGGCTCTCACTCGTGTGAAATTGTGACGAGGAATGAATGCGTTTTTGAATGAGTCTTTGCGTCCCTGAATCCTCACCATAAAGTCACATAAATATACATTGTATGGAACGAGCTTTGGAGGAAGGGGCTGATATGTAGCTTCTGAGGTTTTGCTTGATAAAGAAATACAGGAAACCAGAAGTTGCCTTCAAGCTTTACGTTTTTATTTGGCTGAATAGAGGCGGACTCCTCTAAATGAGAGGAGCAACGAATGACAAGAAATCCTTGTATTTATTCTTTCTGATTACATAAGCAACCCATCCAGCAACGCTGACACACATAAGATAAAAAATTTCACCCAGTCAGTCTGGCACACTGTAGATAAGAAGGGAGAGAGCAGAAGTAGCTAAACATGTTCCCATTTGGGTGTTTCCCTAAAGATATCATATGTTCTCGGGTGGGTTTAGGATAGGGGTGTCAAACTCAATTTCATTGAGGGCCGCATCAGCATTGCGGTTGTCCTCGGGCCAGGTGGGTGTGCTCAGGATGGGTGCGGCCTACTGACTGGTCGTGGATGGAGTGGGTGTGACCTACTGGGTGGGCATGGTCAGCTCTACACCGTTCGTGTCAAGGGTGCCTGTGGGGGCCTGGGCAGGAGTGGGACAGATCTGAGGGTCTCTGGCAGAAGGGGGTGGGACCGGGGCAAGCGCCAAGGCATGGTGCATTTCTTCATTCCTCACAAAGGGTGACACCTCCCCAGCATGCACCTAGGGGGCGGGGCCGACAGCAGGGGCTGGTTCCTCACTTTCTAGACAGCCTTGTGGAGCTAAGACTGAATGCATTTCAGCATAGATGGCCACCACAAAATTGTACATTGGCTCCCGGCCGGCCTGGGCCAGGGCCAAGGCAGAGGGGGCCGTTCCCTCACTGTTTCCAGGATGGCTTCGTGGGCCACATGAAACCACTTTGCGGGCCGCATCTGGCCCCCGGGCCTTGTGTTTGTCATGTCTGGTTTAGGACATTGGGTGTTGTCCTTGCTGTCCTTTCATGACTGCATCCAGGATTCTGCAAGTGACCAAAGAGAGAGGAGCCATCTGTATGTATTCACAATTGATACTGTCCCCTAATTCCTGGTCATCAGGGCTCTGAAAAGGAGCCCAAATGGTGAGAAGTCCTGTAAACGGAGATGTCAAGTCTCCAGTGCGGGTCCCAAATTCTGTTTTCCTCTGGAATGACAGTTGTGGCTGTTCTACCTTTTCCATCTCAGCTTCCTTGAGGAAGGCTCCAGAGAGAGGCCTGATTTCTGCAACCAAAATGTTGGCTGTTGCTTGCAAAGCCTGCAGTTGGTGAGGGTCACATTCCCTTCCTTCACCAGCCAAGATTTGTGTCATATATATAATGATCCCCCTGAGTCTGAGCCCATTCTACCACTGCCGCCAAACTGTCGGATTCAAACCACCCCCAGCCCATTTTTCTACTCAACAGCCGGACCCCTTTGACCAATTGTGCTCAAGAGACATTAGATATGGCTTCCCCTCAGCATCCTTGAAGGGCTGATGCCCCTCCCTCTCCCCTAAGTGGACTACAGGCAGCTTTGCACACCCCAAATCTGCAATTCCAGTTGTCATCATCGGCTTCACCTAAAGATTCAAGCCAGGGCTGGTTGGATGGAGGCTATTGAGACTGAGGGTGAAGGTTCATTCTCCGAGCTTGTGAGTTGGTTTCCGAACGTTTTGTTACCAGGCTAGGTCAGGACTTTTCAACCTTTTCACCCATTGTATCACTTTTAGGATATGGCAACATCCGAGTATCACCAGTTGCCTAGCAAGGTGTCAACATGATGACCCAAAAAAAAGTGATAAAGTACAGGTAGTCCTCGACTTACAACAGTTTGCTTAGTGACTGTTTGAAGTTACAATGGCACTGAAAAAAGTGCCCCCCAAGCCACAGCAGAGCAAGACGCCTGCCCGCCCTGCGGCACTCTTCCTCCTGTCCGAGGTTTTCATTGTTGTGAGCATTTCTGTTGAGGATTGGCAGCGGGGGTGGGGTGGGGGGTGTTTGGTTTTTATTCCCCCCGTCTGCTGGGTGGTTGTAGCAGGTTCTGGCCACTCCACATGACCCTGGGACACTGTGACCATCATAAATATGAATCAGTTGCCAAGCATCTGAATGTAAATCACAAGATCCTGGAGATGCTGCAACATTCCAGCTGATTGGTGCTTCTTCAGGGCTCAGCAGAAGCGCCAGGATCAGCGCCAAAATCCAGCTGAAGCCTGGCGCTGATCCTGGCGCTCCCACTGAGCCTGACAGCCCCAAAGAAGCGCAGATCAGCTGGAAAGCGGCACTGATCCTGGCGTTTTCGCTGAGCCCTGACAGCCCTGCAGCTCCAGCCATCTCTCGCTCAGGCTTGTGCGGTGCTGCCACCGGTTCAGCTCATTCCCCTCCCCCGCTACCACTTTTCTAGGATGGTTGCGTACCACTTGCCAGGTGCCAATGTACCACAGGTAGTACCCGTACCACTGGTTGAAAAGTCCTGGGCTAGGTAACATCTTCAGTGGAGTTTAGGGGATGTCATTGTCAGTGTTCTCTTTATAAGGGCTTTGGGTGGCCAGTAGCTACAGGTATTCGCCACTACTGCAAACTGTACTCCAACACTGGAGATTTTAAAGAAGAGACTGAACAACCATTCGTCTGAAAAGGCATAGGGTCTCCTGCTTGAGCAGGGGGTTGGACTAGAAGACCTCCAAGGACTCTTCCACCCCTAGAGGGGGGGAGGGGAGGGGAGGGGAGGGAAGGCAGAATTATTCTCTGGTCAATTCAGCTAGTTTGCCATGAACACGACCCTTCCTGGGAATTCTACCTGCAGGATGATTGATGGTTTTCCCTGGCTGGGAATTGAACATGGGCTGTGGTGGTGAGAACGCCAAGTCCTGACCACTAGACCACCAGGGAAGTACAAAGTGGCTTTCGTTCCTCCAGCTTCTCTTTTGAAGTGTCAAATGGAGGCGAGGGTTTTTCTTACCTAGGGAGGGACCTAGCCGGGGTAAGCTTGATGAAGGCTTTCCAGTAGAAAAGGGAATTGAGGGGAGAGGTCCCAACAACACTCTCAGACCGTTGCTGAGGTCACCAGGCAACTTGTCTTCCCAGTTGGCAGCTCGCTCTTGGTTATCCCCTGCACTGGATGGAGACTCAAGAGGATGAAACACTTGTATACTCTATTTCCAGCAACCCAGAGATAACTGGACACCAGTCCAAAGCTGATGCTCAAAGCCTTCATCAAGGAGGAAGAGGGCAGAAATGTGTGTGTGTGTGTGTGTGTGTGTGTGTGTTTGTGTGTGTGAAGAGTCCCCCCCCCCACAGCATCACTCAAATGTGTAGTTTGGAAACTCTCGGACCTGCTTTTCCAGGTCAGATTAGATCAGTGGTGGCGAACCTATGGCACGGGTGCCAGAGGTGGCACTCGGAGTCCTCTCTGTGGGCACACGTGCCGTTGCTCCAGCCTTGCCTCCCCCCACGACCCCCTCCTCTCCAGCAGCCCCCCTGAAGGAGAGTCGCCCCCGAGTGTGGCCCACACAGAGCAGCGCAGCCACGGACATGGCAGCCAGGCAGCGTAGACAAGTCTCTGCCCTCACACTCCATCATGCCGTTGATGTTGCAGGGCACGGGCAGAGGGTGTGGCCACCACAGCGCTGCTGGGCTGCCTGGGCGATCTGCGGCGGGTCCTGGAGGCAGTGAGTGGTCCTTTGGGCAGGCGGGGCAGGGGATGGGGGGGCAGAGTGGGGGCGGGGCCAGTTTTTGGGCACTCGGTCTTTAAAAGGTTCGCCATCACTGGATTAGATGTTGGCTCAAAGTGATGGTCCAGTGTTGATGAAGAGTTTGGCTTCTCAATGTTCCTTTCCTGGGTAGCCAGTCTTGAAAGATGTTTTATTGGAATTCACAGTTGAGTTCAGGAAAAGAAAAAAGAAAGGAAACCCCTAAATATACAGATATAATTATAAATTGCCACTTTTCTCTAGTGCTGCAGAATATGAAGCCATAAAACTCCTAGAGCCTCCATTCTGGCTAGTTTTTGTCTTGGGATGACTATTCTTTGTTCAATGGCTTAAAAGCATCCTCTACTTTGTCATTCCATCTTGGATGAGGAAGAAAAAGCGGGATGCTTTTTGCTTTTTCTGGGGGGAGAAAAGTATATCCTCTACATGCCTAGAAATGTTCTCATGCTGAGGGGCAAAGACGTGTTTCTGCCTGGTGCCGAACCAGGGAACTTTTGTGTGTTAGGCAAATGTGATAACCACCACACCACAGAAACCACAAGCCTGGCTGACTCTCAACCAGCGTGACCATATCTTTTGCTGTCCAAAACAGCCTGGTGCATGTTGTATCAGATGGGTTAAAGAACTCTGCTTCTTCAGTGTGAAGGATGAGGGAGCAGAATTTTAAGCCATTCTGCTGGTTGAATATTGGGTTTCAGAAGAGTTTTTCTCTCACTATTAGATGGGAAAAGAGAAACCTCGAACATAAATTTTACATCTCCTGAGACAGAATCTTAACATCTGTGCCAGTTGTATAGGGCAGAGGTAGGCAACCTTGGCTCTTTTATGACACGTGGACTTCAACTCCCAGAATTCCTGAGCCAGCCTGGCTCAGCTTGGAAACCTCTCCCTTCCCCCTCAGCATGGCTGGCTCAGGAATTCTGGGAGTTGAAGTCCATGAGTCATAAAAGAGCCAAGGTTGCCTCCCCTGGTATAGGGACATCATACATGTCTCCAATCCTATGACTTGGGTTTGAATCCTGGCTGGCACATGCCTTTTTTTCAACTTTTACCCTTCTGGGATGTGCAGGCAGCGTCACCAGACCGAGTTTTCATCCCAGATTTTGTTTTTAGTGGGGGAAAAGGAGCCACACTACAAAAACCAAACAGAAGCTTTGGAGGTATGAATCTCCGGACTGAGGGAGGCAGATGCCAAGCCCTGTGCGAAGTCTCTGGGGTGTAAGGGGCTAGCGAATTTGGCTGTTAACCAGAAGGATGGTGGTTCGAGCCCACCCAGGGACGGCCTGCTGGATGGCATGATCCCGAGGTGAAGGTGATGGACTGTTCTTGCATTGGGTTCTTCATCTGAGGGCTTCGATTCCCATACTGTCAAGGATTTTTCTCACTAGGGTTTAAATATCTGAATTAGTTTTACCCCCCTCTGGAATGTAAAATGGGGACGAACAGCCACCACCTTTCTTGAGGATTTTATTGGTCACAGACCAGCACTGGAATTGTGTTTTTCTTAGAGATGATTAATCCGATCATGAGCAGCCCTCATTGGGAGCTATCCAGGGTTCTGAATCCTGTCTTGTGGCACATGCAATATTTGATTGCAGTGCTTTTATTATGTAATCCATTGCTATTTTTCTTGAGGCTCCATGCTAGACCTCGGTACTAATGACATTAATATTCTCCCATAGTGTCCTCTAGTTGTCCTGTAAGGAGTGGTTTAATTGCTTTTAAAGATGAATTTGGATTTGAAGAAAAAAAATCAGGATGCTGCCAGGGAGCAAATCATCCGCTTTGCATTATGGCCAGATGTGTTAATTCTCCATAGAATCTTTTCCTTCTGCAGCTGTTTCTCTGAGCATCACCTGCTGGTCTTCTTTGAAGCAAGCACTTTGCTGCATTTCGTCCCAAGATGGGATCTGACACATGGAGCTGTACATCCTAGAAAGAGTACAGAGAAGAGCAACAAAGATGATTAGGGGACTGGAGGCTAAAACATATAAGGAACAGCTGCTGGAATTGGGTATGTCTAGTTTAATGAAGAGAAGGACGAGGGGGGACATGATAGCAGTGTTCCAATATCTCAGGGGCTGACCCAAAGAAGAGGGAATCAAGCTGTTCTCTAAAGCGCCTGAAGGCAGGACAAGAAGCAACGGATGGAAACTAATCAAGGAGAGAAGCAACCTAGAACTAAGGAGAAACTTCCTGACAGTTAGAACAATTAACCAATGGAACAACCTGCCTCCAGAAGCGGTGAATGCTCCAACACTGGAAGTTTTTAAGAAAAGACTGGACAGCCAATAGTCTGAAATGGTATAGGGTTTCCTGCCTGAGCAGAGGGTTGGACTAGATGACCTCCAAGGTCTCTTCCAACTTCTTCTTCTTCTTCTTCTTCTTCTTCTTCTTCTTCTTCTTCTTCTTCTTCTTCTTCTTCTTCTTCTTCTTCTTCTTCTTCTTCTTCTTCTTCTTCTTCTTCTTCTTCTTCTTCTTCTTCTTCTTCTTCTTCTTCTTCTTCTTCTTCTTCTTCTTCTTCTTCTTCTTATTATTATTATTATTATTATTATTATTATTATTATTATTATTATCCCACTGGGAATTCTCTGGGTAAATTTATTTCCCATCAACTTCTCCAGTGGGTGTCCCAGGAAGTGGATGTGTTTGTGAAGGATGATGCCACAGTGTCAGTCATCTTCTGGACATCCCGCTGATTGACTGACTGATTTATTTATAAAAATTATTGGCTGCCCATCTTATCACAGGGTAACTCTGTGAGGCTTACAATCATAAAAGTAATTATATATACATATTGGGAAGGTGGGATAGAGATGGGATCAATCGATCACCTCCACTGTGATGCTCCCCCATTGGGGCCTCAAGCTAATTGGCAGAGTCAGATCTTTAGGCCCTTACGAACGGTCAAGAGGGTTGGGGCTGATATCAAATGGGGGGGGCAAGATGTTTCAGAGGGCAGGAACAACAGCAGAGGAGGGTCTTCTCCTGGACCTCACCAACCAGAATAATCAGGCCGATGGGTCCTGCATCATGCCTCTCCTGGCAGCTAGTGCGGAATGGGTTTTGACTTCCCCTCAAAACCACAAATGTAATCAATCATCAAAAAATGATTGCTATCTGGGATCCACTATACCAGGGGTAGGCAACCTTGGCTCTTTTATGACTTGTGGACTTCAACTCCCAGAATTCCTGAGCCAGCATGGCTCAGCTTGGAAACCTCTCCCTTTCCCCTCAGCATGGCTGGCTCAGGAATTCTGGGAGTTGAAGTCCACGAGTCATAAAAGAGCCAAGGTTGCCTACCCCTGCACTATACCATGTCACATTTCCAACAGATGGAAGTTGCAGGGATTAAAATGCAGCTGTCAGTAAAAATTTAACTGTTGGAAGGTTTCAAAAATCTGTCTAAGAAAGGTGTCCCTTCAGGGTGTTTATTTTTTTTTCATCTACAGAGAAGGACATGGCAAGCCATTACTCTTATGCACATTCTAAATACAGACCTCCTCACGATGCAGTTTTAGGAGAAAAATGTCGCAGAAGCAACATTTTGAAAGCTGGCCAACCCAACCCTCTGAACTTAGCACCTTCCCAATGGTTTAGCTGTTCAGGAGGATGTAGATGTGAGGATGTAAATGTGAGGATGTGGCTTTTTCAAAGGAAAACACCAGGGACCAGTCCTGGGCTATCTTGCTTATCCAACTCACCTTTGTGATAGCTCAGGATGGCCGCATTCCACTGTTGGTGGCCACTATTTTAGATCGTTTATATATCCTAGCACAGTGGTGGCGAACCTATGGCACCGGTGCCAGAGGCGGCACTCAGAGCCCTCTCTGTGGGCACACGCGCCGTCACCCCAGTCCTAGGCCCTCAGCTGGGTTTTATAAAACCTTTTCGCTTTAGGCCTCCGCCGCCATGTGCAAAAAAAAAAAAAAGTTCAATCAGTCAATTTCAACTTCTCGCGGGAAAAAAAAAGATCTTGCAAAGTTGAAATTGATTGATTGAGTGTTTAGTCCCACCCAGTCTGCAGTCACCACTGCAACCACGTCCACCCAATGGGCCATACCCAGCCAATGGGGCATGCCCACCTGGCACTCAATGATGCATAAGTGGGTTTTGGATTGCAGTTTGGGCACTCAGTCTCTAAAAGGTTCGCCATCACTCTCCTAGCAGAATTTCATCTTATTGGGTTACATAACACATTATATTTCACCCCTCCCCCCAAATGTTGCCGTGGGGATATTTGGTCAAAGAAAATCTCTCAAAAGCCAAGATTGAACCAACAGTCTGAGAGTGTCTGAAATTATGCTCTGGAAGGGCACCAAGCATAAAGAACAACATCTCATTAACTCTTACAATGCTGTAATCACCAGACTGAGGTGGCCGGCAAGCGATAAGGGCATGCTGATTTAGAGTTGCCCATGCCTGTCGTTTTTGTGGTGTAGTGGTTATCCCATTTGCTTCACATGCAAAAGGCTCAAAGCCAGGCAGAAACGCATCTTTTCCTCAGCATCAGAGCCACTCCTCGCTCAAAGAAAGGGCAGGAAAAGGCTTCGTCCCTAAGACAAGCAAGAACCCCATTCTATTTTCTGTTTTATTGGAAAGGGAATGAATGAGGAGAGGCTGATTTCAAGCCACTGATCAAGGAAGGCTGGTCATCCCAAGCGAGTGGAGAATAAAGCCTGACTTGAGTTTCAGCTCCCAGAATTCTGAACTTGAGGGAAAAGGGAGGGTTTCCCATCCATAGCCTGCCTGAATCATCTTAAACATAGGAGGAGGCGATTTCCTGAGGTGCATCCAGAGCAACAATCTGCCTCCAGGAGCGGTGAATGCTCCAACACTGGAAGTTTTTAAGAAGAGACTGGATAGCCATTTGTCTGAAATTGTATAGGGTTTCCTGCCTGAGCAGGGGGTTAGACTAGATGACCTCCAAGGTCCCTTCCAACTTTATTATTATTATTATTATTATTATTATTATTATTATTATTATTATTATTATTATTATTATTATTATTATTATTATTACTTCTACTACTACTACTACTACTACTACTACTACTACTACTACTATTATTATTATCATCATCATCATCATCATCATCATCTAAGGATTTTGCTATTTTCTGAGGCTGCTCTTGAGGAAAAT